GCACCCAGCGTGAGTTTTAAGCCACAGGGTCTGGGACGCGAACCGCGGTCGACTACGTGGGAGTCCAGCAACATAGCCATTATGCTAACTGCTGGTTCCCCGATATCCACTCTTTCTCAGAGGAGTAAGCCTATCTCCAGGAATTAAAACATTGTTATTACCTGGATGCAATCAGAGACCTGAAGTTAGTAATAAACTCAGATGTGTTTTGTTTTTCTGTCACCTGCAGTGAGAAGACTTCCTTCCTACTATCATATTCGTGATACTCAACAGATGGTGTGGGTCCTGAATGAAAATTCCTTAATAGCAGCTCCTCTTACCAACAACATCAAGCCTGGTAAGTGACAATCTAGGCCTCTGCTACTTTCCGAAGGAGGACTAGCTACTATAGGGTTGGTACTAAGTCTTTACAAGCCTAGCCTTGAACCTCACAAATCTCTAAGCAGCAGCCCATTGTCCAGAGGAAGAGCAAAAAAGGGTAAGGAAACCATACTTATAAATGAGGGTATGAGGCATAGGCAGTTCCCCTTGCCTATAAATACATATATATATATATACCCTCAGATTCAAAGCATTCTTTCTAAGCAACAGCTGATCTTGCAGTTTCCTTCCTTTAACTGCTAGCCTTCACTACCTACGTTCTCAGACTCAACTCCCTTCATCTTCCTACCAACAAACCAAAACACCTTCTCCCTTGGTATCCATAATGGATGATAAGCCTCCCCCCATCAAAAGTCAGTCCATCACAACTTCCTTCCCTTTCTCTAGAATTGCAGTGTTGGATTTAATTACTCTCTTCCCTAAACCCATCTTTAACTGTCTACTGATTCTTTCTACTCTGACACACATGTTACAATCTAGTATATCTAACTACCACTAAAAACTTTCCCTTGACTTCCACCATTTATTTCTACCACTCTTCCATTTGCCATGCCAATTAGAGTCAAACTTCATGGGGAAGTTGGCTATAGAACTTGTCTCTGCTTCATCCTATTCACTTTTACATAGGAACATTCCTACATCTGGACTAATGTTTAAGTTCTTCCAACCAGTTCTTAGATCACCAATAGCATTCTTTTTTATAAAAATTATTTTATTTTATTTATTATTATTATTATTATTTAGTTTGACCAGAGAGAGAAAGTGAGAAATCAAGCTGCCAGGTCCACTACTCAAACCACAGTCGGCCATGTGGGAGTCCAGTACCTTAACCACCACTCCACCTGCTGGCCCCCACCAATGACCTTCTAATACACAAATCTGAAGGATTAATGTACTTTAAAACACTCCATTATTTCCTTCTGTAAAAACATTCATCCTCCTGTAGTTTCTATTTTGCATTTTCCTTTGTGACTCGACTCTCTCTCTCTGAAATCTCCTAATGATGTGCTTCTCAGAGCTTGTTCTGCCATCATTATACAAGCTGATGAAAGGATGTGAGCTGCTCTCTTGGTCTGATGCTCTATGCTCATACTCCAGCATTCATGCTTCTAATATAGATTTCCTCTCTGCACAAGTGACTCATGTCCTCAGAATCTCCTTTCAGACATCTCTAACTTCTGTATCTCAAATGGAACTATAGTCTACCTTCTTTCTCCAAACTGCTCACAGTCTCTGTTAACAGCGCTAACATCCACTTCATTTGCTGAAGCCAATTATATGGGAGGCATCCTTGATTCCTCCTCTCCCCCACTCTCCATCCAGTCCATTAGCCAAGACAGATGAGTCTATGTGCAAACTATGCTTTATTATCAAGATGATATCATCTCTCACCTGCACCCCTACCATCACTTCCTCACTGCCCTCTCTCCCACTCTATTGGTGGAGCCTCCCATCCATTCTCCATCGAGCATCAAGAGCAATCTTCTGGGACCAGCAAATGGTGTAGTGGTACATTACTGAACTCCCACATAGTTGACCATGGTTTGAATCCCAGACCCAGCAACTTGAACCTCATGCCAGGCACATGTGCGTACATGCCCAAGATCCCAAGAGGAGAATGGAGGAGAAGGGATTGTGGTGTGGCCATCTCCCCAGAGGATAATTTCTTGCTTTCTGTCTCTCTGTCTCTCCAGCGAGTGCATGCCCTATAGCAAAAAATATCTCTCTCTCTAAAAAAAAAGAAAAAAGCAACCTTCTTACCAGATTAGTTGAATATACCTTGCCCATGAATTTGTGTTTTGGGTGCAGGGACAGGAGAACTTAGGCAGACTTCATAGTACTATTCTTTCTAAGCCTTGAACTTAAAACATCTTTTCCACATTGAAACCCTCACATAAACCTTTCCTTTCCTATGACAGTCTCTCTCTAAAACTCCTCCACCACTTCTTCGTATAATACATTTCTCTTCACTTTATGGTTTTGGTTTCCATTCAACTCTCGGAGAGATCTTTCTCAATTCCTCTAGCTGAATTTGGTCTCTTTTCTACTATCCCAATCTTTTGTGACTTCCTCCAAGGCAGGTATTGTAATTTATTGTGGTTTTAGTAATTTCTCTGTTTATCTTTTTCCTGTCATTTTCCCATGAAAGTATGCATTCCATGGAGGTAATGATGATGTCTCTCTTGTCCTCAGTTAAATTCCCCAGTGACCACATAGTGTCTTGTTCTGAGTGGACTAACAGAAAAATCTCTGGTCAATGGATTGATTCCCTGCCCATAAAGCTAGATTAAAAACATCCAAACTCTTAGGAATATTTTTTGATTGTTGTTGTTGTTGCTACTACGGTGTGTGTATTCACATGGACATCCACAAAGACAGAGAGAAGAGAAAGCACTGCTCAGTGGACAGTGCTGTACATTGTCCTCCATTTCCCCATCCCATCATAATTGGGGCAGACACACACACATGCATGTTTTCAACTGCCAGGACTTGGATTTGAAACACAGTCAGTCACATGGGATATGGATCCTTGAACCAACCCACTCCTGTGAATTTCTTGCTTAACCACTTCAGACCAAAAGTAAGTAAGAAAATATACACATAACCATGACTTAAACAGGACAGAGGTTTATTTATTTCTCCTGTAAAGAAGCATGAGTGAGCAGCCCAGGCTGGCTACATGATCCCACCAGAGACCAAGAATGCTGCCTTCTGCCTCCCTTAACAAAAGGTTTCTGGGGAACCAGCAGTTAGCGTAATGGCTATGTCGCTGGACTCCCACGTAGTCGACCGCGGTTCGTGTCCCGAACCCGGTGGCTTCAAACTCACGCCGGGCACGTGTGCGTGCGTGCCCAAGATCCCGAGAGGAGAATGGAGAAGAAGGGATTGCGGCGTGACCATACCCCCTGGGGGGTGATTTCTCACTTTCTGTCTCTATGTCTCTCTCTGTCTGTCTGGCAAGCGCACACCCTATAGCAAAAATCTCTCCAAAAAAAAAAAAAAAGGTTTCTGCAGCCATCAATAAGAGTTTGAAGTGGCCAGTATGATAACACAGCTAAAAGAAGGAATCTCCTCCAAATTCTTTTTAACAAATATTCTTAGAAATCATCCTATAGCACTTACACTTAAGTCTTAGAGTCTACCACTTAAGCACATGGGATATTTAGCTGAAAATATGGTGTGAAATTTTAGTTTTATTTTGAAAAGCACTGTGCCCTGGTTGAAAATTGGGATTCCTTTTTTTTTTTTTTCTTTTATTTATTTTTTTAGAGGTTTTTGCTATAGGGCTACATGGGAGTCCAGCGAAGTACCCATTACGCCACCTGCCGGCCTAGACAAATGGGGTTCTGATAATAAAAAAGAAAGAAAAAAGGAAATGGGTTTAGAGACAGCTGGAGAGGTTCTCTACCACATGGCTAAGAAGATGGGCCTGTAGGAAGGGTCAAGGATTCTCAGCATCCCCTGGCTGAGAGGAGGACTGAGTGTCAGGCCAGAAAGAATGGACTTCCTGCTGCCTGGAAACTGACAATGTCTCCACTTCCCTTGTGTTCCTAGTGACTATTGAAATCACAGAATGTAAACACGCCGAATTTTATGATGAAGGAAAAGGTAACCTAGTTTACATGGGAATCAAGGGCAAAGGTCTCTGTCTCTTCTGCACAGAAACTCAGGGAAAACCTACTTTGCAACTTGAGGTGAGTAGTTGTGCTGCTGGTAAAAGAAGTAATGTCAAATGGACCTTTTATTTCATTTTATAAGTTACTGAATAAAATAATATTCTTGCAATCCTGGATTATTCAGTGCAAAGAAGGAAACCTGCCCTGACTAATCACCCAAACAGTTAATGCTGCCTTTGGAAAAGGTATTACATTTATTTTAATAGAAGGGCATTCTCTAAAAACCAGAGAATATATCCATGAGAATGTTTCTGAAAAGCTAGGGCAGGGTGACTTCTTCAAGCCTGATTAACCCTCTGAAATGGTAAGATGCTCCCACTAAAGCAAAGACCACTATACGGCACAAGAGACAAATGGAGAGAATTTTTCATCTGGATTTGAAAAGTGCATGTCTGTTGATGTACCAAGAGCAAGATTTGTAATTATGGAGTTAATTCTTCAGCTAATGATGGGAGTCGTACCGTATTTACCCATGGGATATTGGAACCAAGTGAGGCTGGTCTGTGCCTACTGATGAATACATACCAGGATCACCCGAGAAAGAGTTTTAAACCTCCCTCTATTCCATGGAGACAGTGATGTCTCAAAGAATTAGAAGCACCTGGAATCATGGGACCCAGTGGTGGAACCAGATCATTGGAAACCAGTAGCCCTTTTTGACCTCCTCCTATCTTCCTGTGTGCATAGCCTATCCCTCCCTAGGGAGTAGCAGTCATTCCCTTTGTTATGTAGTCACAGTTAGTTTACCTCCCACTCCTGGTCCTCCTAACAAGCCTCTTTATCTCCCCAGGCAGAAACTGTCATGAGCCTCTATGATAAGGACAACTCAGAGAAGCCCTTTCTCTTTTACCACAATAAAGAAGGCTCCACCTCTGTCTTTCAGTCAGTCTCCTACCCTGGCTGGTTCATAGCCAACTCCTCCACGCCAAGAGAGCCTGTCATTCTCACCCAGGAGAGGGGCACAAATAACAACACTAACTTCTATTTAGAAGCTGAAGATTAAATCCAGCCTGGGCTTTGGATGACTGATTCCAAGATGGAAGATTAAGCTGTCAGAAAACTTTATATTTGAAAGTTAAACAGTTCGTTTTAAGAAAACTCCATGCACTCATGAGTTATTCAGCAGTTCAGCCCACTCATAAACCATCTCTTTATTATCATCCAAAACCACTTCTTCCTCCAGACATCTATTTTTGTACCTCTCCCCACTTGAACACTTGAACATCATCACAATGTGAACCTAAGAGTCAACTCTTTATTCTTTCTATACCTTGTCCTCCCATCCATTCAGCTGCTAAATTCAGTTAAGTCTACCCTCAATTCTTCTTACATGCAGTCCTTCTTTGTATTTCATTTGCCAATTCATAGCCTAAATATGAATTACAAATATTTTTGTTCATGCATCCTTATCAATAAAGGAATATTATTTATTAGTTCTATGCATGTTTATTTTAAACGTCCTCATGTATACTTCAAAATATAAATCCTAATGATGAGATGAATGCGAAAATAAAATTTTACATGTCTTGATTATCGTGGTGGATTCATAATATTATCAATTAATACTTTGACACACAGTTTATACTAGGCTTAAGAATCTTTTTTTTAACTTTGGGTACTGGAAAATTTATTTAATAAATCACAAAATATTTACTGTCTTGTAAAGGTTATCTGATATAAGTCTGGAGGTTAGAACAGATGTCAAGATACTAGTTATTGCAAAGATGGTTCAAAAAAGAGTAAACAAAGATCATTAGTGTGAGTATTGGTCTATAAATTGCATTGAGGAAATTAGAGACTGTGTTTTTTATTATTTTAATTTACTTTATATATTTAATAACTGTACATCACTGTAGCTTATAAAATGAATTATTAAACATGAATACATTTCATGCCATTGAAGATATTATATACGTTATCATCAACAAACAATTTTCATTTTTGTGTCCCTTAAATATCTTGCCTCTCTACTTTTCTCCTTGATTCCTTTTCTCTCACTCTTCCCCATCTCCCATTCTCTTCCCACGCTGTCTCTAGTATAATTGTTAGCCACAGTGACTGTAAATCAATACATACTTCAAAGATTTACATCAGTTTGAATTTCTTTCATTCAACTTCTCAAAGTGAAATACACAGTCCCCATTTTTGCTTTATAATGTAACGATAGTAGAAACATCAGCTATAACTTTTATTGTTGTTATGCATGTTTTTAGAATTTTAGCAGCATATTCAACCAACAGTGTTTATATGGAGATACTTCTAAACCAGTAGTATATTTGGGGAAGGTTACTTTGTTTAAGCCTATCACATGATCTGCCATTTCACTAATAAAACACATGAAAATTATAATATACTATTTTATCATACATATGAACAGAAGCATGACAGGATTTCTTCCCTCAGGAGACCTTTGCACATGACCAGCAGAGGTATTGGCTCAGCAGTGGGTACCCATCACTAAGTTCAAATTTCTCAGTCAAGCATAATCTGTACTAAATCTCTCCTTCTGGCATAATCTCCTGTTGCTTCACAGCCCATGATTCTGTTTGGCATACTCCTTGAACCCCACCTTAAATAGCCTACCTTTTATTTGGGTAATTTCTGTGCAACCAGTTTTGAGATATAATCTGGCAACATGTCATGTCAGCTGTACCAGGTGTCTCTCTCACTGCCCTGGGCTTCTGAATACCTTAAGGAAGAACTCTTGTAGGAACATGCTTGGCACTCACACATGCACAAAAGTGGAAGAGAAATGTAACTACTTCTTGGGGAATCCTTGACAAGTAGAGGATGAGAACAGGCAGAGGATGACTATGCTCTCCCATCCCACAGGTAGGCATTTCTGAGTTACATTCTTCACGGTTCCTCACAGAGTACCAGAAGTGTTGAGCCATAATTTCCTGGGGAAGTCTGAACTAGGGAACAAATTCTTACATTGATTTCCCTCATTTTGCTGCTTCAATTTTCCCAACCTCTTCTTTTATTTTCTAGTGTCAATTTACATCATCCTGCATGCCTGCCTTTGTCTCAGGTTCTACTTTCTGGTGTCCACCTAGCCTAAGCAGATTATATCAAAGCAAACGGCTTCTCCACTAACACCCTCCTCCAAACTTGTTATGTTTCTTTCCTCTGTGCCTCTCTGCTCATGCCTTTCCATGTATTTCAAACACATCCATTGCTGTGTATCTTACATGTTTTATGGATATCCTCCATCCTTTATAAGTGTTTAGAGCCTTCTCCTTATCTTCCCAATCAAATACAACATCTTATCTTCTTTGAAGTCCACCACTTTTGTCTTTTCATGGGATGTTTCTTTTATTAACCTTTTCTTCTTTTCTTGATCTATTTGCTCTCTTCTCAGACAAGTTTCTGGCATATAGAAGGCTTTTGTCTTTTACTTCTAAGTACCACACATAGCTGTCAAACCTTGCCACATTAAAGTTACTCAAAAAATAGTGTTGAAACAAATGAATCTTCATTGCATGTGTTAGCTTCTTTCTATGGATATGAAAATGTATTAGGGAGAATCTTGCATTATGATGGCAGCAGCAGCCCTCACTTTTGTGAAGGGAGCTACAGATATTCTTAGTGACTATGGAGAAGGAAAACATAAAGCCAGCTTAGGAACTTCCCTATCTCAGTTTTTTTTTTTTCTTTCATGTAAGCCAATATGGTCCCAGGGAATTGTGATGATGCTAGGATATGCACCGAGGAGGAGAAAGCTGCAGAAACCAAGCACAGCCTCGTATATTCCCAGAGGTCTAACAACCTGGATCCACTGTCTCCCTCTCAGAGGACTCAGAGTATATCTACAGAGTGTGCACATTGTCAAGACGATCCAAACAGGTTTTTAAGTATAAACCTAACTGTGTAGGAGCACAAGAGAAGTTTGGGAATCACCATATTGCAGAGAACGAAGTTTCACTGGCAGTCTGTAACAAGAAACCTTACTTCAAAAGAAGGTGGTTGGGGGGAACAGCAGATTTTATAATAATTATGTTGCTGAACTCCCTCATAGTCAACCGAGATTCTAGTCCAGGATCCAGTGACTTAAAACTCACTCTGGGCACAAGTGCATGCGTGCCCAAAATCCTAAGAGGAGAATGGAAGAGAAGGGATTGTGGAGTAGCCATCCTGCCAGGGAGTGATTTCTCACTTTCTGTCTCTCTGTCTCTCTCTGTCTCTCTGGCAAGTACACATGTCCTATAGCAAAAATCTCTCTAAGGAAAATAAACAAATAAATAAGATGGTAGGAAAAAAATCTCTTTAAGAAAAAAAAAAAAAGAAGAAGGTAGGAGACGGTACAAGATTCCATTTAAAATATGTTCTCAATTAGTGGGAGTCATTGTCAGTTTATGGCTAGTCCGTTCATAGGAAAAACTCACAGGAGACTCTCAGAAATGTTTGCCAGGGTGGGACAGGGAGAATTCTTCCATCAAGTATGTGCCTAAATGCACAGTGAAATACAGAGTATGTGCATGTGTGCATGCATGCCCAAAATCCTGAAAGGATTTGGAGGAGGAGAAGGGACTGAGGTATGGCCATCCTTCCTACGTGGAGCAGGTGTGTGGGTGTTCATCATTTTCCTGTATTTGTCTCTTTCTTTCTCTCTCTGGAGAGCACAAGTGCTCTATGGCAAAAATCTAAATAATAACAACAATAATAATAATAACTAAAAAGCAGGAGAGAAAGAAAAGGCATAGATCAGTGGTACAAATCCCAGGGAGGAACATAACTGCTTAGATCATTTCTCTTCACACACTGAGATTTTGTGTCCACGATACCATTCCTCATCATTAGGCATGCCTGGAGACCTCTGTTCATTCTATGGAATTAAAAATTAGATGCCCCAAATAATTTTATATACACTAACATTTTGGTTAAACCTCAGGGCACGAATTTCAATTTTTTTTAATTTATTTATTTTACATTCATTCATTGTGTATCTTTGCAGCATACAAAATGAGTCTTCCCATCCAGAATACACTGCATATTGGCTCAAAGATATTACCATACATGTTATCATCAACAAAATATTTTCCATTTCTTGTTTCTTAGGAATTTTACTTCTTTTTTCCCCCTTCGATTGCCTCCCTCTCACCCTCTGCAATTTCTCACCCTCCTCCCACACTGTCTCTGGTATCTACAGTTGCTTACCATTTTTTGTTTTTTCTTTTCACATTTTATTGATTCACAAAAGATCTCAATGAAACTAAATACTTTTCATAGAAATACAGCTGATATAAACATATCTATGAGCACATGTCCAACTTTCGGCTTTAATAAGCTCACCTACTTTGTGATAATTAAATTTTTTTCTAATCTTACCTACTAAATGTGTGTGTGTTCTGTTTATATATAGTCTTTCAGACTTAAGAATAATTCCAAAAGCCTACCTTTTAGTCAAATTATTACGTTTGTAAAATAAAATAATCAGTGATTTTAGCAAGTTAGTATCAAAACATTCCCAGTTTTTGGCTTAATCATTCACCATTCATGCAACTCAAAAGGAAACAAAAAGGGGTCAGCAGGTGGTGTGGAGGTTAAGGTGGCTGGATCACACAAGGCCAACTCCATGACTCAAATTCTGGATCCGGCCACTTGAAAAACATGTCAGGTGTGTGTGTGTGTGTGTGTGTGTGTGTGTGTGTGTGTGTGTGCAAAATCCTGAGAAGAAAACCAAAAAAAAGGGATTGCAGCACGGTCATTCCCCTGAGGGGGTGATTTCTCACTTCCATTCTCTCTCTCTCTCTCTCTCTCTCTCTCTCTCTTTCTCTCTCCTTCAAGCACTTGTGCCCTAAAGCAAAGAACAAACAAAAATAAATATATATATAAAGTAGTAAACAAATTGTCTTTTAGAAGATTCAAAAATCTGTGTTTTCATCAAAAGAGTTCTTGGTGATATACCTGGCTCCTCTCTGCAGTCCACCATCACAGGACCCTGTTTTCTTCATGCACTGTGAGTTACAACATGGACTGTGCCCTAACGACCTTCTTACAGAA